TCAAAGTAGGTACCATCAACTATTTTCCTCTGAGATGTTTTTTTTTGTTTTTTTCATCCTTGATATCATTCTCTATGGCACTTACACATTAACATCAAAGAACACCTCTCGACTTTCAAACCATCTAGTGACATTCAGGGTAATTCGAACAGCATTTACATCAAGGATATTTCATATTAGAATTATTGTAACAATAAATAAATCATAAAATGACGTACTGCGGCAGCTGCACCAGTACTCCGTCATTTAAACCACCTACTATGAAATTATTAGATTATGCAGAAAGGCGGCTCAATAACACATACATTTTACATCAAATGTACATGATATGCGACATCTCAAATGTATGACAATCTCGGATTGAGTAGGCAAACAAGTCAACGAGACTTAATTACAAAAGACCTGCCTGATCCAAAAAGATCTTGTTCATGATCTACCATCCCGGGGATCGTCAAGAGATAATGGCCGATTTTCCTTGACAGTGTGTTTCTTCAATGTTTTCATACGATTACAGTAATTGAGCTCAGGGTATAAACATGCCTTAATTCCAAATGCCAACCTGGATGACCTCCGTAGGCATTTTTGCCAAGCACACACATGAATAGAAATCTAGCTTCCAGCTATTATTATTCATATCATATCATCGGTACAGTGGGGTGGAAATAATGATGTTCATTACTTCCCGCCTCCCACCTGGGCTCACATCAAGTATGTAAGGAATCACTCTTGACAGCCAATAAAGCAAAGCAATAGAACTCACTGAAATATCAATATTTGTCTCTGGGGATCAATTTCCTAACATTCAGGGTTCCAATTAAACCTTTGCTATAGGTTTATCTAGCATACCGCTAACAGCAGTAAACTTTTATTCACACTCTGACAGCAATTATACCTATATACGTTGCAGATTCATACTAATTAGTATAGCTTCATAGACAGAGTGGATTTAAAATGAATACACAAAACATTACATAATGATCCCATGGGTATTATTACTTTGAGATTTTCACAATCAGCGATGACCAGAATGTGATGAGAAATCAGACAACCATTAATCAGCAGTCACAATTTGCATTTTAGCCTCATCACATATAATAGGTTAAGCAAAAGATGAATAGTTAAAATCAACACACAGTTAGATCTCCAAGTGTTGCTTATGAAAACAGTCTGGACAGGATCATTAAATGACTTTTTAGTCGCATCTACTTTATATCGATCTTGGCAATTCTTAATTTCCTCTCGTCCTTGCACACCTCTTTAATTCATCTCAAACTTTCACATAATGATAAAATCACCCATAAACAGCTCTGTGATTAGACTACGCTACTTTCAGTCAATCATGTTGTACAGCAGCTTGGAACGAGTCATTGCCAATTAGGCACATTTTAAGGACAAGTCATAGTATGTTCAGCAATAAAGAACTTCCAATCAGTCATTTTTTTTAAAATGATGCGTGACACTGTCACACATGTTTAAACAACTCTCAAACACGATTCTCTAACAATATAAACTATTAACAAACATCTCATGTACAGGAATAGCAACAACTTCTTTGTAATTTTATTTAATAAATGTACTGTATTGTTATGTTTTTCTTTCAGCATTCAATCAGTATTAACACAAATCGGTAGAATGAGATACAATGAAATCAATTTCGTACACGTATAGTTTAATGTAAATAACAACCGAGAAGTGATTCAAATCTATTTTTGTAGCTTTCAGCTGACATATCTACCATTTGATATGGTTTGTCCGAAATGCATAATTTTTTTAGAAACAGACTTTGGCATGTATCAGTCACAGTTATAAATACCGAATTGGATAGAATTACAATTTTCAGCATGCTGTGAAACAACCAAAGTCTGTATATTATTACAATTTTAACAGCTGGACGTGTGTTTTACACCACTGGATGAATTTCCAACAGTGCCATAGTGTTTATTTTTATCAAAATTCTTGCCCCATGCTTACCAAGCCAAGAAGTGGAATACCATACTAATATTCACAGGGTTTGAAAGTTCAATGCATTCTGGTGAAGAGTAGAATAACCCCAAGGTTTTTTTTACAATGAAACGCAAGTACTGAGCATACGTCTGTTTTAATTTAGTACATGTATATATTTATATATATATAGCAGTCATCAAAAATAGTAATATTCAAATCGTCACAATATTACAGTTACAAATCAGTGTATCAGCTACAAACTAGCCAGGGTAAACATATCTAGATTTCAGACCATAACAGACAATCAACAGCATCAAAAATCTATGATGATTAGTCTTTAAGAAATAAATCTAACTTTAATACAAAATTAATAGAATAATAATAAGAAAATTCCAAAAGCTTTATTTTTAAGATCAGCAGTAATAGGAAGTACAATTAAAACAATGAAGAGAGGAGATATCTCAAATAGGTATCAACGGTCTTATAGTGAATACATGATTGTAGTCTTTATGTACACATGGCACATATCAAATCACCTTGGGCCCAGGTAAGGTGTTGTACAGTGTTAAAATGTAGTAAATTATTTACCAACTTTAAATTATTTACAAACCTCTAATTACACGCTACACACACAGTCGATAAATTTGTATTTTTAGATTCAGTTGATGGCTTTATTTTTTTTCATGATTGGAGGTTGAGTGGAGGGTAGGAATGGGTAATTTACCTATAATGTCATCTTCTTCATTAAATAACAGTTTTCTCAAAAAACTAGACTTTAGCGAACACTATAAATAATCAACTTTAATAAAGTAAATTCACGCCTAATTTACCATTAACAGTTGACCAACACTTTCCTTTATCACCGATGATATTAACTACACGTACATGTACCTAGCAAAAACAGTAATTGAAATGTTTTGCTGCCTGTAAGGTAAGCTGAAAATGCAATCACCTTCCCTACATAGTTAGCAGGACAGTAAATGGGGCAATAAGATTTTTTTTTTTTAAATGTGAACTTTAAACCAAATTCTTTCCTACAAAAAAAAATTAATATTAATAATTTTGTTTCAAGTCGCTCATTTAAGTAGGAGGGCCCCTTCAGGGAAACTCATTTTACCTGCGGTTAGCACACAGGATGAGCACAAACCATGTTCAACAACAAAACGGCACTTTACAAAGAAGGCTAATACATTTCAAGAGGTTGAAGAGATTTCCAATATCCTTTCACCATACACACATTAAGTAAGCGTAAATTACAAAATCAAAACTGAAAGGGTCTTAAAATACTAAATTTCAGGAAGTCCCCAGCTGTTTATATAATTTTGACAATTACTGAGCATGCTTATATGTTGTAAATAAAATCAGTGAGATAAATCCAGTCAGAGAAATTAGATTAGTGTTTGTGACTTGACCATTAGAACCACTCAATGCTGCACTGCACATAACAAAGTAAATCGCATTATACGGTACATCTGCAATTTCATTTCAAGATTGCTCCCAGGGGGAATTTATACAAGCATATTAGCAATCATGAAATACCATAATACTAGCCTACTAGCCTACTAGAAATTCGTTCCAACTCGTGTAACATTCTAAAGCTAATTCAATTTCAGATTTTAATATTCCATATCGAATTATGGGAATTTGATGCAGTGCAAGGCAATCATATTGTATTCTGTTAATATCGTTAGATTAAATTATTTCTAAATGACAATTTGTGTAGATTACTACAGCTTCAATTAGACGAAAGATTGTGAATTTTGAGTTCATTGGTTTATTCATATTTCTCATCTGAATACTAAGAGTTTGTAAACTGATTAGAGTGATAAATATACAGACATGTGATTTTGTTTTTCTTTTGAGACATCTAATAAGTTAAATGTGTTTTAATTTCAAAATCATTTACAACAAATCATAAGAACATAGTAACAATAATGAGGCCTTGTTCAGTAATAAATATTATTATTATACATGTATCACCGCAATGCATAAGTTACAGTGTGTCGTAATTCTGCGGTATTTTACAGGGTATTTTCATCCTATCATATTAGGAAATGCAATTTCCAAATATGGAATGATTATGCGCGTAAGCTGCCTCTAACAATACAAACAAACATGGCTGCCACCAGGGTTTAAACGGACTTCACACAAAGAAGTTTGCTGATTCTGTTCTAAACATTTTGGATTTTGGCATTCCCATGGTGTATCTTTGGAAGGAAAAGATGTATAATAATACATAATAAGGTTATAACGAGAAGACCTCAAAGTATGCACTTAGTACGCCGCGCATCGACCTCCACTGGGCGTCATCGATACTCCAGCTGTACTGTCTTCATGCATACTTTGAGGTACTCTCGTAATAACCTCATATTATACAACAAGAGATTTCATCCATTCGTAAAATGTTGTGTTGAAAGTGCCTTCCTATTTTAGAAAATGTGCGTAACATTTACATCACAATCAAACATTTTTTTTTAACAGTGGAAGTAGAAGCACTATAGCACCTGACAGAAATACAATCACTGAACGTTTGCACAGCGCAACATGTTTTCCTCTGCCATTTCAGGTTGTGTTCTCATTAAATTATTACTACACAATGTATCACGAGAATACCGCAATATATGCACTCAGCCAGTACAGGAACGCATCAACCTCCACTACATGTCAGTCAATGCACCCAATGTATGATGTATTATTGCATACTTTGTGGTATAAGTCTCACATATTAATTCCAAGTTATTTATCTCCTCATTCAAAGTCAGCAGACTTAAGTGATTATGGCCAGAGTAGTCCATCTAGTAGAGAAAGTGATGATTGATACAAGTCTTTGTTTTCATTAATAACTCCATTTGAAATTAAAAATATTTTTTTTTTTAAAAAGAATTATGATTACTCACTCTATAGTCTAGGTAATTAAATTTTTAAAAAAATAATATGGGAAATCCGAGCACGCATGTAGATTTTGAGAAATATGTAAAGTCAACATGGTGATGCTCCGCATATTTAAATCGCAAACCCAAACAAACAAACACCTTATTAGGTCATGTACAACTTACTTGATCTGATCTTCTTATATTTACTGTCATCGTTTTTAGGCGGCAATTTGTCCATATCGTGGAGCCACCATATATCATAAGGTAATGAAAAATCCACTCTCTTTTCTCGTAAATACTTGCCTGTAGTAAAATCACAAAGAGAATGACTTAATCACAAATACAGTAATGAAAAGAAAGGTTATTTATTAGAAAGGAACTGGAATAAATTTAGATTTCTAGACAGACATTAAGTGAAGGCATATCGTTGTTCCCTCTGCAATATATGATAAGTGCACATGCAATGATTGCTCAGATGTTTTCTGCATAATTATTTTCGCTGATCAGCGATAATAAAAACCATCTGAAAATGTTAATAACTAAGATGTCACATGCAGAACTCGTTAATTTATTATGTGAAATTACTGAACATGCCCAAAATGCTGAAATACCGAAATAGTGTAATTGAAACGAGGGAAAATAAAATGCTTTTAAAGTTAATTGTTTTACAGGAATCAGGTGCACATTTCATTACAGGTACATCTAGACAAATGGAAGAGATTACATAATATGAGTGATGGGGGGGGGGGGGGGGCACAAAGATGCCCTCTGAGCCAATTTGCTGCATTCCCTGTGATTTGGCAACATGTTCATTTCAACAAATCTACACAGAACACAAAAACTTTTGAACAAAAAGACATGAGATAAGACATGAATATTTATTACTCAAGATGAGCTACTATTACAACAAACGCTTATACGTATTAAACTAGCTTTATATTTTAACAGTAACCAATTGTTTCAGACCTTCTGCTAACTGGTCGTCGCAAAGCAATAATATGTTTAGTATTTCACCCTAGTTAGATGTTATTGGTAAATATCAATCACCAAAATTGAAGATAAAACAAAAACAACATAGACAGAACAGCAACAGATGAACGGACCCCCCCCCCCCACACACACACATACATATGCTTGAATAAGTAAATATGTCCTGTACTGCAATGATGTACTGTAATTACTTGTTGCCAGTGGCTACTGCAAATTTGCATTTTAAAATAGATTCTGGGCACCATTTTGATTTTTACAATATTGTAGAAAGAACAGTATGCTTTAAAAATGACACAATTTGAAATCTAAATAAAAGCAATTATTTTTCCTCATGCGTTTTTTTTCTTCAATGCAAACTGTATAACATTTTCGAATGAGAATAGACCGTCTCAGACAGCAAGCAAATTGCGACAAGTGAGGAGGATTATTTGATTTTGAGTCTGATAACTATTGAAATGGAGACTGCAATCTATATACAGACACATTACAATAGGAGCCCCTTGATAAACATGCAATTGAGAATTGATTTTCAAAAAGCAAAGCAGAATAGAAAATGGAAATCAAAGCCAGAGAAAGTAACTATAAAATATTCACATACAGATGAAACGACCAAAAGTAATTAACACAGTAGAACTCTTTAAACCATTCTCAATGCCGCACATACACAATCATGGGGTACGAAAGAAAATAAGCCATATCGGAATATTTTATCTGAGGCACGTTCGCTTCTCCATGCTGTCGGTTTTTCACTACTGCACAAATGCATTGCATTGCAATGCATTGTGGGAGAGAACTTTCCATTTTATTGGCAAACTTATTACACTGGTATAGTAATGGCATGGCATTGACTCCTAGTACAAATAAGACAACGTATAAATTTGCGAGATCGTCAAAGGTATGGCATTTTAAAACAATTGTAAGTATGTGAAATTTTTCGGTTTTCAATATTTTTTTTAGAAAAAAAAAAACGGTAAAATAATTTGCATAAAATGCCAATTTATCAGCAGTTTCCATAGACCAAACACATTTCTAGCTTGAAGACCCACCAAAATATTGTCAATTTTTTAAATACTTTAAATTAGACGTTGAAAAGTACCTTGCAAGACATTAACGAGCAAAGATATATCTTTTCCATAGGGAACAATGGTAAAATGCCCTATAATAACATGCGATTTTTGCTGTATTTTATGTACACAATCTTTTTGAACTATTATAGTATATTTTTAATTTTTTTTTTCATCCTTGTAACTTGAAATATCAAATAAGTACAGATAAAAAAAAATGATAATATTTTTACTTTTGTGATGTGTCTTATTATAAGGAAGTAATAAAAAAATGTGTGTGAATTTTTTAATACAATTATCAATTCTGATAGAGCAAATATGATAGCATAATTGAATTCGACAAATCATTTTAAATAGCACACATAGTATTTTGGTTGTATCTCTAGATTTTAAAACCACATGCTAGTAAATTAGTAACTGGTTCATATATGCCTTAGAGGAGGGAACAGAACACACATAATAATTCATCATACGGACACTTACATGTGCTGTATATTGTTCACATAAATTTAACTGCAAAATGTAATTTATTGACAAGAGTGCCATCTTCAAGATGCATCACAAGCAGATCCACGAATTGAAATGTCAGAAGGTAGGTAATAAAAATCCCATTAACAAAATCCGGAAATTGTCTTTTGCAAAACTTGTAACCCAATATTGTTCTGATTCTGCTATGCTCAAAAGCAATTAAATCATATTCCATTATAAAGGAGAAGACGAGGAGGGAAGGGGGGGGGGGTCAATCACATAATAAATATCAGATTAGTGTCAGATAAATTGAAAATATATTCATTTAAGTGCTTGTCGGTCAGTGTTCAGAGAAGTACTTAAAAAACTACTGAGCCATTTGATATAATAGTCAGTGAGGACTAAGAAAAAATTATTGTGAGCATGTAGAAGTTGGACCACATGACAAGGACTGGACTGACTGATATTATCACATGTACAGTCAGTGTAGAAGTTGGACCAGACAACAAGGACTGGACTGACTGATATTATCACATGTACAGTCAGTGTGCAGAAGTTGGACCAGATGACAAGGACTGAACTGACTGGTATTATCACATGTACAGTCAGTGTAGAAGTTGGACCAGATGACAAGACTGGACTGACTGATATTATCACATGTACAGTCAGTGTAGAAGTTGGACCAGATGACAAGGACTGGACAGACTGATATTATCACACGTACAGTCAGTGTAGAAGTTGGACCAGATGACTTGACTGACTGATATTATCACACGTACAGTCAGTGTAGAAGTTGGACCAGATGACTGGACTGGACAGACTGATATTATCACACGTACAGTCAGTGTAGAAGTTGGACCAGATGACTGGACTGGACAGACTGATATTATCACATGTACAGTCAGTGTAGAAGTTGGATCAGATGACAAGGACTGGACAGACTGATATTATCACAT